TTCTATCCCCGACCCTGTTTCTTCTGCATATCAATGATATGTTGCAACTTAACAACATTCATTGCTATGCGGATGACAGCACTGGGGATACTCTTTACACTCGCCGGGCAGGAATTTCTCGGGCAGTTGTCGATGAGTACCGGAACAAACTTGTGTCTAAAGTCGAAACTCTACTACGTGGAGTCTCAGACTGGGGCAGACTAAACCTAGTCCAATTTAACCCCAAGAAGACACAAGTTTGCGCGTTTTCCACTAAAAAACACCCTTTGTCGCTACTCCTCTTTTCGAAGACACTCTTCTTAAAGCCACAGCCAGCATTGGAATACTTGGCGTTGACATATCGAACGACGTTCAGTTTCGCGGTCACTTGGAGGGAAAAGCTAAATTAGCCTCCAAAAAGCTTGGTGTGCTCAGCAAGGCGAGACGGTACTTCATTCCGGGCCACCGCATGCAACTATATAAAGCGCAAATTCGGCCCCACATGGAGTACTGCTCTCACCTCTCCCCAGTACCAGCTCCTTCCTATTGACCGTATTCAACGCAGAGCGGTTCAAATCGTCGACGACCAATCCCTCTCCGAGCGGCTTGATCCTTTGGCGTTGCGTAGAGATGTAGGGTCACTCTGCATCTTCTACCGCATTTACCATGGAAAGTGTTCAGAGGAGTTGTTCGGATTAATACCTGCAGCTGAGTTTCGTCATCGGACGTCGAGGCAGAGTACGAAATTCCACCCGTATCACCTCGACGTCCGCCGTTCCACAACTGAGCGTTTTTCAAGGCAGTTTTTGCCGCGCACCAGCTGCCCACTGAAGTATTTCCGAACCAATTCGACTAAGGGTCCTTCAAGAAAAGAGCGTACCAATTCTTGAAAGATCGGCAACGCACTCGCGAGCCCTCTGGCATTGGGAGTGTCCGTGGGCGGCGGTATCACTTAACATCAGGTGAGCCTCCTGCCCGTTTGCCCCCTGTTCTATAAAAAAAACAACTACTATAGTAAAAAATTCGGGTTGATCGTAGAGGGGTGAAAATTAGGGGTTGTACGTACTTTTGTATGCTGTATCATAAAAAAATAAAAACAAAAAATATTACAAAAAAATTTTTTTGTCCACCCCAAAATCACTTAGGGGTTTAAAAGATAGATAGTACCCGATTCTCAGACTTACTGAATATTCACAAAGGTCGAGCCGTTTCGGACGAGTATGGGAACGAACATAGTGTTACGAATGTTATATATTAGACTTTGCACTTGTTAGATTAAACCTAAGAGCACACCATCTTACAACTATTTAAGCAATACTATAAGAAGTACTTTTGTAATTATCCACAATAAACTACTGGTTGAACATACCTTTCTGCAACCCTGAATCCTGAGTCACTCGCTGGCTGTACATAAATGGACTAGACTTAGCATTAAATATGAATCCCGTATGTTAGTCTAGTCGACAAGTTGAAAATGGAACAAAATAGAGATACTGCTCTTAAAATTATGTGCGATAGCTCATTCGAACCGGAATGACGCCTAGAAAAATGTGCTAAAAGCGTGTATTAGCACATAAAAAATTGCAAAAGTTATAGACCATTAAAGATGAAAAAAAATGGAATTTAGTTTTTTGCCAATATTTAATAAACTATTAATATTTAAGAAATTTCAAATAAAGATTCTGAAAGAGGAGGAAATTTCCAATAAAAAACTCTCAGCTCCCGGAACTCTATCTCCATTATTTATAACTTTAATTTAACGCTGAAAATAGGTCTGTGCGTGACATTTTTAGGATTCGCGCGTGGCGTCAAAAGCGACTACGGCACATTAATTAATTTATTTAAGGTATTGAATATTTTTTTTAAATTTGAAAAAATTATGGTGTGTTCTGAACACTATAATTAATTTATTCCCGTTGGAAATTTTACTTAAAGTTAATTTTTCAACAAGTTAAATAATTGTTAACTAACGAAATTTTCTCGAACGACCGTCTTAATTGTAAGTGAAAAAAAATGTTTTAATAATGGTCGTAAAAATATTTCGCTTCGTAGAGCCTTTCTTACATACATACTTAACAAGATCGTTCCATAAAAGTTAAAGAAATATTTATACTTTGTTTATAACAATTTTTTTACTTAAACAAAAACTTAAAAATCCAAGTAATGTTGTTAAAAAATTTTTTTTTTCTAAATCATCATATTATCGTTTTTATATTAATACAAGATATTTATTGATTTGCAAAAAAATTTCCCGCCATTTGTTGATAATTTTTTTTAAACAAATTGATTAAATCAATTGTTTTAAAAAAAAAATTTTCCAACTTTATTACATTACAAATATTATGATTGTTTAAAAAAAAATTCCTTAATAACATATTTTAATTGTTTATAATCGTTTTTTTATATTTCTATTGTTTAAATAATTAGTTAAGAAATTTTTTTTTCTAAAAATCATAATTGACAGTCCTCTATAAAGTAACAAAAAATTTTTTTTTAATCAACAATTCTATTGTTTATTAACTTACCAATTTGTTATAAACAAATGTTCAACTTTTTATATTTTTTTTCTAAAACTTCTAAAATTAACAAAAACAACCATATATAACAAAATATAGAAAAACATTTTTTTAAATTTTTTGATTATCATGAATATTACTTTTATTAAAAAAAAAATTTTTTTTTTTATAGACTTTGTTATATATGTTCGTTTTTGTTAATTTTAGAAGTTTTAGAAAAAAAATATAAAAAGTTGAACATTTGTTTATAACAAATTGGTAAGTTAATAAACAATAGAATTGTTGATTAAAAAAAAAATTTTTTTGTTACTTTATAGAGGACTGTCAATTATGATTTTTAGAAAAAAAAATTTCTTAACTAATTATTTAAACAATAGAAATATAAAAAAACGATTATAAACAATTAAAATATGTTATTAAGGAATTTTTTTTTTAAACAATCATAATATTTGTAATGTAATAAAGTTAGAAAATTTTTTTTTAAAACAATTGATTTAATCAATTTGTTTAAAAAAAATTATCAACAAATGGCGGGAAATTTTTTTTTGCAAATCAATAAATATCTTGTATTAATATAAAAACGATAATATGATGATTTAGAAAAAAAAAATTTTTTAACAACATTACTTGGATTTTTAAGTTTTTGTTTAAGTAAAAAATTGTTATAAACAAAGTATAAATATTTCTTTAACTTTTATGGAACGATCTTGTTAAGTATGTATGTAAGAAAGGCTCTACGAAGCGAAATATTTTTACGACCATTATTAAAACATTTTTTTTCACTTACAATTAAGACGGTCGTTCGAGAAAATTTCGTTAGTTAACAATTATTTAACTTGTTGAAAAATTAACTTTAAGTAAAATTTCCAACGGGAATAAATTAATTATAGTGTTCAGAACACACCATAATTTTTTCAAATTTAAAAAAAATATTCAATACCTTAAATAAATTAATTAATGTGCCGTAGTCGCTTTTGACGCCACGCGCGAATCCTAAAAATGTCACGCACAGACCTATTTTCAGCGTTAAATTAAAGTTATAAATAATGGAGATAGAGTTCCGGGAGCTGAGAGTTTTTTATTGGAAATTTCCTCCTCTTTCAGAATCTTTATTTGAAATTTCTTAAATATTAATAGTTTATTAAATATTGGCAAAAACTAAATTCCATTTTTTTTTCATCTTTAATGGTCTATAACTTTTGCAATTTTTTATGTGCTAACACGCTTTTAGCACATTTTTCTAGGCGTCATTCCGGTTCAAATGAGCTATCGCACATAATTTTAAGAGCAGTATCTCTATTTTGTTCCATTTTCAACTTGTCGACTAGACTATGTCATAATGTATTGAATTTGCATTAGACGCAAAAGTTTACGACATCAAGCACTTATCACCTACTTGCATATAAAGAAAATGATAAATACAATAGATGCAGAAATCTTTGGGCAATTCCCGAAAAAGGTTGTGGCCAGTAGATGTAGGATGCATATGTAATATTTGTATTTTACATATGCAATAAGTTCCCACACTTTTTTTGACCTGGTTTCGCATTTCCAATGCATTAAAATGATTACCTTCTTTTATTATATTTGTGTACTTAATATTGTCATATGTAGAGTAAAAATAAATCAGTGTCGCTACAACCTTTTTAGATGGGACTCAGATTTCTGTATCTGTTTCATGATCATTTTTTTGTCAATCAAGTAGGGGATCAGCCTCCTGTGCCAGATACACGCTAACTTTTTGGGTCTGAGGCGTGCCGGTTTCCTCACGATGTTTTCCATCACTGTTCGAACGAATGTTAAATGCGCATATAGAATTAAACTCCATTATTGAACAGCCGGGGATCTAACCTACGACCTCTGGGTCGAGAGTCGCTCAAGCCACTAGGCCAACACTGCTGTTTGTCATATGTACACGCCTATATATATATTTATGTTTGCGTGCAAAACTGTTTTAAGCTATATAAAGAAAATCCTCGTTGTTAGTCTCGTTGAGTTGAACAATTGTGAAGTAGGAGCGTTTAAATTAACAATGATGGGCTAATATATTATACATCAGCACTTTCTGTCTTAAAACGTATGGTTAAAATTGATATATTAAATATTTTATAAGATACTCACATGTCAACACTGTTCACAGTGGATGATGTATCGTTTAAATAAATTGTAATTTAACCACAATTTTTTATGTGTAATTTGTCGGTTTAACGTAATATGTAAATTTAACTAATAATTAATAGCCCTAAGAAAATACCAATTTATTACGCTCATCAAATATAGTAACTATACGCCCTTAATTTCTTTAAAAATCAAACATAATAACCGACTCTCATAATATGCTTCAAATCTCGTTTATATATTTACTTGTTTCAGTTTTTTACTACAGAATAATTTGTAACGTTTTCCCTTGTAATCTACATAATTCCTGAGTAAAATAAATGAGGGCACATACAACTTACAAAGTCTAATAATAAACCTAAGCCGATTAAAATAATTGATTTTCCTATGCGATATTCAAGTATTTTTCCGCAAGGTATTATTGAAGTTGGTGAAGGTAAACTTCTGTTTACTTACACTGTACTAGATTTTGTTAATCAAGTATTATTACATAGAAAATACGCTTATGTAATGGAGTATTATTCATGTCGAGGCTATCTACATTTACATATGGCAATTTAGAAGTGTCCTTATATATAAGATTAAATTGCATTTGTGCATCTTATTATATCTAATATATAAAATTCTCGTGTCGCGGTGTTTGTGGTTAAACTCCTCCGAAACGGCTTGACCGATTCTCATCAAATTTTGTGTGCATATTGGGTATAACTGAGAATCGAACATCTATTTTTCATCCCCCTAAATGTTAAGGGTAGTCAACCCCTAATTTTTTTTTAAATTTTAAGATAATTTTATTAATTTTTATTTTTTTATGATACAACATTCAAAAATACATACAACCCCTAATGTTCACCCCTCTACGATCATCCCCTATTTTTTATTATAAATGATAAACATGGCAAAACGACGTTTGCCGGATCAGCTAGTAGTTATATATAATACCTACATCAAGGGCCTTTGGGGAGCCTTCATATATCTTACTATAATTGTGCATATACAGTCAAAACCGTTTATAACGACATCGTTTACAACGACCTATCGGTTATTACAACCAGATTGTATGGTCCCGTCCGAATCCCTAGTAAACTATTCAGTAAAGAAACCGCTTATAACAACATCGGATACAGCGACATATCGCTTACAACGACGAAAGTTTATCGATATTCATCGGATATAACGACCAACCGCTTCTTGTCTCAGTAAAACAAAACAATACAAACGATTTTAAATTTTATTTATAAGCATTGAATGAATATTTAGGCATATTATTACCTACGCACTTTCTCCCACGAACAGTTTCAGCCAACAACGATTTCCGAGGCTCTTAACGCTGTAACGATTTTGCAAAAATTTGTTGCCTTTAACGAACAGTTTGATACTGGTGATACTCATACCTTGAGGAGTATGAAACGTAAAATGCTAAAAATATTTGAGACTGGGCTAAAAAAAACAGACTGACTGATTACTTTTGTACCTAATTATTTCGTAATAAATATTTTTGTTTCTTTTTTGACTCGTTTACATATTATAATATTAACATACCATATTATAACCCATACCTACCTATTCTAGATCGATAACTATGTACATACATATGTACTGTACTTGTGTACATGACATTGCTTATAACGACTATGTCGTTATAACCGGTTTTGACTGTAATATGTTTTGTATATAAAATTACCTCATTTAATATATATGTCGTCAAGATCGCGCATCGCTCGTTTCTATGCATTTGTATGTATCTGCTGTGCTGATATGGGTCGTTTAGACATGATAGAAACAGCTGAATCTGGTTTAAAGATATTTTTAAAAAACATAAGTATAATCCGAAACTTGTTACGTTACTACCTTGAAAATGTTAGAAATTTCATGTATAACCTTCAAAATGGCATATTTTTTAGTGTCTGTGTTTTGTTTAAAGCTTCAACGCTGGAACTTTTAATTAGATATTGAGAGGCAAACTTAATGCAAACTAAATCTCATCTATCCAAATTTGTTAAATACAGATAACAGAGAAAGTTCTCAGTTGCTTTTAAATCTTACCTAAAGTTTTGATTGTGCATTAGTATTAATTTAGCTTTTTAAATGTAGATTGATATACTGATACTTCTATGTGTTGCTAGAGAATTAGTTTAGCAATTTAATGTAAAGCTCTGTTTGTTTATTTTTTGACTAATGATAAAAATGTCCCTTCACATAATATTTTTCCGTTGAAAAGAATCCAATTCTAAACACGACTCCACAATAAACTTAAAGCTTTGTTTCAAAATACTACAAGTTGAACAAAAGTTTCAAGAACGTCAGACAAATAGAGGCTGTCAAATAGCGACAGGCGTTTGCTGGTAGATAAAAGGACTATTCAAGCGTGTCTAGATTCCTTTCATTTCGATCAGAATAAAATAAAGTACGCTTTTACACTTAGATAAAGAAGTACTCGTGATTGCCATTACAAGTTCGAAAAACTTTAAAGTTTGCAATATCAACAAAGGTAAGCTACCTTTGGGATAATTATTTTAGAACATCGTGAACACTACTGAAATGACTTAAATGACCCTTTCATCAAGCGAAAGCAGGGCTTGGATCGTGATTATAATAATATAGCCTGTTTAATTTCCAAATGATGACAAAAAAAATTATATATACTGTACTTTCCATTGCTTTTTGGCATGATACGAGTTTGGTTTTTATGTTTGCGTTATAAGTCCACAATTGGCAACCGTATGTGAGAGTAGGTAAGATACAAGTGTCCAAGACAATTTTCTTTAGGTGAAGGGGAAATTGCCCTTTTAAGATTTCCTTTGGACCAAAAGCTTTTTTTTTCGATCGTGATAAACTAAGGCTACATTTTGCAAGCTACAATACAGCTTTTTGCTTTCCTTCAGATGCTTATGCTTCAGTTTTGAAAATTAATTTCTCGTTTCAGTATACGATGCATCAGGCCAGTACAGCCCCAACATTCTCTTCGGCAACGAGTACTGGCTGGGGTCGCAAAACGCTTGTTACGATCTCCAACTCAAGCAGTACTACGACCAAGTGTCACCATTCCCCACCACCTTCTACGTGGCCAAGATCAACTTGACCGTCGATGGAGATCATATACCAATGGCAAGTACATATTATTTTAATATCTATATAGTTCAATTATTTATTAACAAATACAGAAAACATTGTCAAATGTCCCGGCCGTGCATTCTTCGGAAATTAATGCTAGAAATATTTGTTATTTTTGTTTATTGTTACGAAAGAAACATACATCATCATTATAATTTGTATATATTAAAAATTTAAAACGGCAGTCAATCTCTAATACAAATTTTATAGAGGAAAGTTAAAAAATATTTCATGTTATCATATTACGTGTTTGTTATACCACTGGTATTTTATTTAATTCTGGCGAAAACTAAATAAATTTCGTACGATCTCTATACAAAAACTATTCGTTACTAATTGTCTTATTCTGTCACTTATAACTTTTAAAACACGTATGTGTAGTAATTACAAATGAGGCACTAGTTGTATGTACATAATTGTAATATCATATTCTACCAACAAAATGGTATGTCCATAAGTAAAAAAATTAAATGAATTGCTTAATTTTAAATTAAAAAAAGAAAGTTGTTATTGTTTAAAATTAACAGAATTAAAATCAGGAAACATAAGAAAAAAGCGGTGCAAAATTCAGTCATGCATAAATAAGTAAAGGATAAAGTGATTATCAAAAACACTGAAATAATAGAATAAAAGGTTACAAGAGAATTGAGAATTAGCGCACAACCGTTTCCGTTCGTTCCGTTTCGTTGTTCCTTTTGGACGGGATTTCCGAAAACATTTAGAGATTTGTCTTCGTCATACAACTAATCTCTTAACTATCAATCATTTTGAATCCCTATGGTCTCATTACGTTGATGAATCAGTCAGGCTGTGCTTTAGCAGTTTTTTGAGTATATATAGTACATAGTATTATGCCGAATGTTAAGGCTAACAAAGCTAAGAAAAATCCTTTTTACATTTTCTAACTTACATTCCTAATGTTAAATGTTAGCTGAGTACATAGGTGCATTTGAACCCCGGCAGTGCACCAATGGGATTTTATGTACGCGTGCATACACTTTAGTATTCTTCTATCCAGTATTATGTACACTTAGGATGAAGGAAAGCATCGACAAATGTTCGGCACAGAAAGCTGCCTAACCAGACTAGACTATACACTTAGTCTAAGATTAAAATACATATATATATAATCTACAGTCGCTGTATGTTTTGACCCAAGTTTTTATAAAATAGTAACAGCATCTTGAATATTCCTACCGCAACTGAGAAGCTCGTTAGGAATACTTCAATATTTCAGAATACAAGTGCTACTCTAAAATAACGAACTCCGAACGACTTTGTCTTGTATATAAATAGCCATGTATGACAATATTTGTGAAATGTTTCATATGTGGGTAAGATTTTCTTTAGTTTACGAACTGACGTAACGGATATAAACGCAAAATTACAATGTTTTCTTCACATTTCAAATACTTAACGGACATGGTCAGCGAAGGAATTGCTATGAATTATTTCAAGAAGTTTTATTAAAGTAATATACAGCCAATGATTTATATAAACAATTTTGTATAGTAAAGAAAATATTAGTAAGTTTATACGGAAAACTAGAGCAGCGGTCCGTGCCAGTATTTGGAACTTACACACGACACGAAACAACAGCTTTCGAATAGCATTCCTATAGTAAACTATACAAAATGTTGCTAATAAGGTACTGCGAGGAAGACTAGCTGTCTGTAGCCCCATTCTTCATCAAACCAACTTTATTTAATTAAATTAACCTTGTAAATGTTTATTTTTCGTGGACATATTTTCAAATATTTTTATGATATTTGAATTTATAAATGAATTGGAGCGGAGTTATTGAGTGTTATCGTTAATTCAGTCACGTTTATTGAATATAATTTTATTTTTAAAACCAAATACAAATATAAAATTCATTCTTTTTGAAAATCTGAAGATATTTTCAAATTATTTTGAATACAATATTTACAAGACTACAATTCCAGATTATACATTTCTTAGTGAATAACTAGTTTGACAGATCTTGAATAGGGTCTAATATGATTTAACTACCTACCTTTACCTAAACGACCGCGTTTTAGCCACACGCAGGGCTAACCACACCTTTACTCTAAAAGGTGTGGTTTGGCCGCGAGTGGCTAAAAGGTTAACATCAACGAAAGACATAGGTTCGATTCTCTACCAAACAATATGTGTTTAATGAACCAGGTCCAGAAATTTATCAACTACATGCTCCATTTTGGGTACAGAACTTGAAACGTTATTCTCTGAAATACACTCACTATTTGAAAGATTTAATCCTCCCAATTCATGCTTGGAGCTCGAACCTTAGACCTCCCTAGCATTGTGTGAATGCAGTGCAGTGCGGGAATGTATGAATACTAGCATGGGATATGCGGGTCGCTGAAAACTGTAACATTTACATTTTTATTAAATAAATGCCACTCTTCAATTATTCTTCTTTTGTTATATGGTTTCAAATATCGAATGTTGTCCGAAACATATTGCCTATTTTAGCCCATTATAAGAAAGGGTTCGAACTTTACGTATATCGTTATTGTTATAGCCGTGCAATAAAATATTTAAAATGGCCGATATCGGGCCATTACGTACCAACTTGCAAAAGTTAACTGACATTTTGTCCCAACGCGACGGTATGTCAAAGAACTTTTAATACAAAAGTTTTATACTCGCTTGCAAATTGTTGCGACATACAGTGTTCCTTTTCGTTTTCGTATTGCGGGCAGTATCGATCTATTATACGCCTTAAGGTTTGACAGGTTTCTAGTTAGGCTCAAAATAAACAAAATAGAATAACAAAACAAGGACTCTGCTCCATAGTTACATGAGCAAGACGAAATATGTTAAACCATGAAATGTTGTAAATTTGTTCGACGTACGTGGAAACTAATAAACAACTAAATAAATGAAAGCAAACTACAACTACAAACAATTAATGAAGTTTTAAAGTCGATTAAAATGAGACATTACATTACGTAGTAATAATAACAATATTAAAATCATTGCGGTTATCCTAGCGTTTAACTGTAAAAAATAATTGATGTTACGACACTTCATTCAAGAAAACAATTTAAATCAATCACGTTTGTTGAAACAAAAAATAATGAGTAAATTATGACTGCTCTTTCCCTCACTGGAATTACAGATAAAAGACGTTCAGGAACCCTTTTTTCGATAAGTCGTTCGCTGGTACACTGATATTAGGCAAGATGGTAGTCTACTTGTGACCATCTCGATCCGATTTCCGGCTCTCGTTTTTTTCATAATCCCCTTGGGCGTGATTTCTGTACGCCTAGTACAATAGAACATGTTCTATAATGTTAATTCATCTCCTGGGAACGTCACCATTACTGAGAATCGGTCGGATATTATCAAAAGATATTTTTTTAAGAGTCTTATTATAGCCCCAAAGCGGCTATTACTTTATCGTCATCCGTGTAATTGGTATTTCTATATCGGATGAAATATTTCTCACCGCATCATTGGTTACACTTAGTATCGGTAATAAGGTTTATTTATGTGCACCGCTTAAAGATGAAAATAATAATAGGCACATTAATAATAATGTACCAAAAGCGACTCAATTTTATAAAAAGTACAGTTCGTTTCCAGACAATCTATATTTTACTGAAATTTATTGCCTTAACAGTGACAGTAAAAAGTGTGAAAAAAATCGAATATTCCAAATAAATTTATAATAAGTGGCCATGCATTAATACTTAAGACTGGAAGAAAATATGATTTCCAGAACTAATAAATGATCAGCCCGATGTTTATCGTTAATGATATTTAAAATTATAAAACTGCATCTGATTAACTTACTAATATTAACGCTAATAAAAGTGCCAATATTCCGAAATTACTTATTATTTTGTTGTAGTTTTTTGTATACTATAAAGTGTTTTTGATCGATAATATCTTCCGATAGATGGATTTGTACAAACAAAGACTCAGCCACGCCTAGTGAAGAATGTTTCCTTTGTCAGGAAGAAACAAATGGTTTGAAATAAATATTCATTGTCGAAGGGGTGTGACATGGCTGGATTTATTGTTTACGATTAGTTTAACTGTTTCCGTATATTTACTTTTGTTTACACTACAATAAAAAATACCAGAACGAGCACACTTGAGTAAATTTCAGTATTTTTAGTAAATACTCCTCGGATGTGTAAGAACGAAAAGAATACGCCATCATCCAGGCTGGCCAAGTATAGATTGTTGCTTTCCTCGTGATGATTCCTTCATTTAATTTGCGCATATAGGGCAATGTATTATTCACATAGAAGTCACATTTGACATAGGATGCATTGTTTCGAAGCTTTTTTTACCATTCGCCATTACCAGCGAATTAAAGCTGTTAATGCTTATCTAACATCTTCCATTATTTTCACGTTTATTTTGGTAAAGTATGACAAAGGCAAATAACTAGCACCTATAAAAACAGCCATTCCTTCACCAAACACTTGAAATAAAATCTATTTGTAACGTCTTTCCTCAATTCTTAGTTCTTCTATTTTGTGTTAAAATAGGCTTTTCACTCATTAAGTTAAGTTTATTGGCTTAATATTAATAATAATAAAAGCCTTTTCTCATCATCATCTTATGAACTCATAGATATCCGTGTGCACTTTTTTGGCAAAGGCAAACCCCGTCATATGCCCTCTCTGCCATGTACCTGGAAAGCTGCAGTTTCCCTAATCTATTCTTCCCTTCTTAATTATCCTCTTCTTTTGCGTCTATTGTACCTTAGTTAATATTTTCATAGATTAAATTCCTACTACCTATTAATTACCTCTTCAAATAACTTTACAGACAAGATCAATGCTGGTGGGGCAATGTATGCCGTTATCTTGTGACAACAAAGCTGTCCAGGCTTTACTACTAGCTGCGGAGACGAATGCGGCCAGCCGTGCTTCAGCAGCTAACATCACAGCCACAGCACAAACACTTTACGTGCGCCCCGTACCTGGACCTTACAATTTCCTTGAAGATTTCAAGTTTCACATCATAGGGTAAGCGTCTCTTACGGTTATTTTTAAACTATGGCATTGTACTCACTTACCATGACCTCATGTGTGCCGAGTTTAAGTACTTACGCAATATAACCTATGAGGGCAGTGAGTACATTTTATATAGACAATTTTTTGATGAATTATTATTGAAAAGTAATTGTGTATTTATGAATAAAATAATATATTATATTCGACGTTTGACCTTACTCATTATAATAGCTTTACGCAATGCAAAATCTTAAGAAGTAATTGCAAAATCAAAACTGATTTACGACAATATTCTTCAAATAAATAATAACCAGCCTAACTCCAGTTTTACAGCCGGCGCCTGGTAAAGCACTAAAGCGCTGTTTTATAAATTCGAAATAAACAAATGAAAATGACTTCAATAAACCTAAAGTGGATTTACAACTTGACGTTTAATTTTCTTTCTCTTTTTGTTCATTTATTAATGATTGTATTTTAATGGAGGTTTCGTTTTGATTTTCGCATTACCTACCCCTCGGTAGAGAGTGCGTTGCCAACCTTGGGTGTAATAAGCTGCCTTAAACTTCGTATTTATTGGTATCAGTCCCTTTATCTCCTTGATCTACAATGACTATTCTACGGGGACAAAGTCGTTAACCTCAAATACCAAATTCCAATAAACAAAGTATCCCTTTTGTTAACAACATTCAACATTGCTATGATTAAAATATTTTTCATCAAACATTAAGGCTCAAAAAGTAATAACTATTCCGGGCATATCAAATATTAGTTTTGAATTGAGAAACTGGCAAATGCTGAGGGAGTTTTCATTTAAGTTACAAAGTTGAACCCGCAAATATTTAGGAAGAAAGTTCCGGTTCTGAAAAATTCATGAAAGCAAAACTAGTTTATAAATTTATTATTTATTTGTTTAAATTTTCTTTTTAATAATTTTAATTATTACTTTGTAGGTTAAGAAAATTGTAAATACAAATTATACGAGTACGTATGTATTATTTATCAAATTTGACAAAAATCTAGTATTTTATCCAATTTGATACAGCTTTAATTCAAAAGTTTTATTTCACCGCCAATGCAATAAATTATTTATAAAAAAATAGTAATACAATTTAAATACTATTATAAAGGAATATGGAAACGATTTAATAGTATTATTATAACGGCAATTCATAAAGGCATACATACATATTTATATAGATTGTTCTACCATGGATCTAATATAGTTTGGCTCCTTTACTAAACAGCAAAGTTAGTTGAACTCAAAGAGAAATCCACTAAGCCATCTTTGTTTATAAGTAAATAAATATAATAATTATAAGAAAAACTGTCTAAAGCAATCTAGTTTTTCTTTATTTCTTTAAAATTAAAACTCCTTTCTTTTCCTAGTCAAAGAGCAAGAAGCAGTTCCAATAACAATTTTATGATGAATTATGAATGTTAATGACAGCTTCCCATTCGAATTGCAACTGAGAAAACTATATCTTCAAACTATAAAGTATACATTAATAAATTATTAGAAAAGCAAAATTAAAATTTAATTTCAAACACGATTCTGTTCCCTGTTTCAGTTTTAATAGTATATTAAAAACCTTTACAGTTTTCAGTTATATAATGATTTTCCAATTGCGCGACGCGCATTGAGGTCAATTAAAAAGGCACTATTAATTTGCTATTTGTATGGATGTAGTTTATCAGTATTTGTATTCATTAAAAAAGTAGTAGTAAAATGTACTAATTTGGTTAAACAAAAGAGCGTGTATTTTCAATTATATTATAAATAGATATTTCTAATTATGCTAATTATCTGATACATTGTTATTTATTATAGAATATTATAAAAAAAATATTTATTTTCCACATCATTTTTGAAGTTATACTTCTTTAGGCGCGTTATGAAAATTTGATGAGAGTGAAATTTTACGATGCGCGCGCACCTATGACACAAAATTAGGAGTGTGATTATAGCGTGCGCAATCTACAAAAGAAATAGAATATAAGCTAACTTCACGCATATTCTATTTCTTAGCTTAGCAGCTTAACAAGAATTTTGAATATCCATGACAATTGACATCTGACAATGACATTTACCTTTTAAACAAATATAGGAGTTTGAATTATTGTTTAAAATAAAAGATTCTAAAAGTACCTAGTTATTTTCATTATACAAGTGCGAATTTTATATGTGCGTCTGAATTATAATCAGAAATTGAATATCTAAATCAATACTAATTAATATGATAAAATATTTGTGAAAAAACTGTGCCAACCTTCCTGAGTGCTTCAATACAATTGAGGTTAACTATCCGTATGTATTATCGAGTATTATTGTTGATTAAAACTGAAACATGAACTTAATTAACTTTTGTTTATTGCGTTTGTTACAGCAACTTTTTAGAAATATTCTACGACCCTATATATCAATAATTGAGAACAAAGATTTAAGCACGAAAACTAATAAGGAGAAAATGAATGCTTGGAGCGATATTACAGAGAAGTAAACATTTTAATAAGTACCTGCATCTCAAAAAAATGATTACATTATTTAATCAAAACATGTAATTTTTCAGATTTAATCTAGCAAATATAAGGACAAGAGACAAAAAACAATTTCAGTGGAAGTGCACTAAATTGAATAAAAAAAAGAGTTGTCATCTTATCGCCGTGAAACATCAAAAACAAGAGGTGGAACAAAGCCACCATCACCTTCTCCAGACACAATGGATATGGCAGAGATGATACCGCAACGGTTTGAAGTAGATTTCAATGAATTTGATTGTGATGGTGTCGAGGTAGGAATGTTAATTATAAATATGATGGTGATGTTCAAGGCTCAACCTCTCAAGCATAGGCACATACTTTATTCCCCTACAGGGTAGTTAGAGATATTGTAATACCTCAAAACATCCATGTTGCTCTTGTAGTACCGAAACTCTGTCCAGCCAGAAGTGAGCCCATTCCCACTTATAATGGACAGTGGGTATAATACACCTTAATACCTGAGTGCGAACCACTCACCATGACACTTAAATTAATAGATGTTATTTATATATTTCAGGATATTACAAATAAAATCATTTTGGAAACAATTGCTATCCCAAAAGCAAATAAAGCCAACAATGACAAGGTAATAAATCAGTTTTGACATAACTTGAATACTAAAAAAGCCAAACAAAGGTGTGCACAACAGTGACAACATAACTTAACAATTTCATTATTTTGTAGGATTAAAGAAAGGTTAAAGAAAATCATGTCGAACTGATCAACAAGAATCCCCAAACAACTCAAAAGAAACCTACAAGGAAGACACCGGTATTATATTTAAATTATCTCTATCTCTAAATAGAATAAAAGAAAGTTGCTATCCAGGTCTGTAGCATGTGCTACAAATTATATTATTAACACATTTATATAATTATATTAATATAAATGTGTTAAAAATTTTATAATATGAATTATAAAATTTTTTTATTTTGTAAGAGAATAATTATAAATATTTATTTATTAAATTTTTCAAATGTAAACTGAACTTTATTGACTATAATGACTCCTTTTCCAGTCTTTGATTATTTAATTGTAATTAATTATTTGCATGCAATCAAAATCTATTTCTAATAATGCCAAAGAAGTATAACTTCTTACGCGCGTACATAAGTACACGCACCCTTTTCTATTATCACCGATTATCCTACATAAAAAAACATTAAAATATTTATATACCTAAATCTTATAACTAACGATGTCGCAGGCAACTCTTGTGAACTCAGCCAGTGTACAAACAAATAGGTCCACCTCGATAGAAATTCTGTTTATTATTTGTATATGTATTGTACATAAATTAAAGATATGACCGTATGTAATACCTTGATTATGATGATATTTTTATGTTAAAAAATGGTAACCACAACTATGCTAAGACTTTATTTTCTATTTCATTTTCATTAGCACCAGATTTCTTTTTTTGAAAGATTCCATTCACACCATTATGCAATTAAGTTTACGCTAATGTAAAGTATTAAGTTACAAATATAAATCTAAAACAGTGTTAACGCAATTAAAAGAACTCATGAACAAATTGTGAAATGAACTTAAATGTAAATTACTCGTTAGCTAGATAAGGACCTTTAAACAGTTGTCGCAAGAGTATTCGTAGGTTCCAAGTGTTATAAAAAGATACCAAATTATTTCAGTTTCATATTTTTCTTGTTCAATGTTGTGAAACTGTAACTTAGTAGATGTTTTTCTCCATAGACGTATCGATCACGGTCAGCATCCATCACGAGATAATCATCTCCGGAATGAGGTTTGATATGTAATAGATTAAAGTGATTGGTATTCAGCATTCGCACATATATCAGGATTAGGGCTAATTTACGTAAGTGTCTGAGAGATAACACCGATGATAATAATTGTTGTTAAGAATACTTGGTACTATTTACATTGTAGGTGACTTTGTATACTGACTACTTCTTATGCAACAGTAGTAAAATTATAGTGTGTGTGTCCTGTGTGCCATGGCTGGACAGGTATTGCGACTACAGAATGGTTTCATCTGGCATGACAAGACATGCTTCACGGACTGAACTGAACTTCAGTAAGGAGAGGCACCCATAGAAGAAGAACTGTAGAAGAATTTATTACTTGAAATACCTGTAATCATAAGTATGTAAAATGGAAAATACAAGCTGCCCTCGACACAAGTAATCCTAGTGTGGGGGCTATGTTAGTATTTTCTTTATTTTATTGTACGCGTATAACTAGCGTTCATTTGTTCTAGAGTTTATTCTCTTATTAGAGAAACGAAGTGAAAAATTTCATTCAATTTGTTTCAGCAGTAGTATAATAGCGGTACAAATATATAGGGCAGTATTTGTTAACAAAGGTTTTGCGTGGTCTTAATTTGGTTCGCGAATACAGTTAGGGGCATATAATAGAAAAACCTTTAAATTAACGTGGGCGGACCGTATAGCGCGCATAGACAAGACCCTTTGGACTTTGGTCCTCGGCATAACAAAAGACCCGCCGCCCACCGACGAGATACAGTGATGACATCACAAGCTGGCGGCGCAATTCCGGTCGAGTTGGAGAAAAATGGAGCAGGCCTACGTCCAAAGATGAACCCAAAAGAATCGCCGATGATGATGATGATTTGTTTTTATGTATATCTGAAGCATATTAAAAGAATGACACTCTGCGTTAATTAATTATATTATTGAGATCCTCGGAGTAATAAAATATACAAAAGTAAACGGATATTGAAATTGAATGACGGCAGTCTTATTAAATTAAACCTTAGCGACTGTTTTGACTTGTATCAGACATCGATACAAATTAGTAAACGGAAAGATATTTTTCTTAAATATCTTATAAATTTGTTTGAATTCTCTTTATTAGGCATTATCATTTCTTTAAATCTTTTTGTAGAATTCCTTACGGCTTGTACTAGTACATTTAAGGGGCAAAAAATCCTGAGTTTTAATCTTATAGAACATTTTTAGAAGGTATAATATGAAATAAGTCGTGTCTGGTTAAATTCTTTGAATATTTATTTTATTCAAAGATAATGACGTAATATTTTTAATGTAGTTGCTAATAAACTAATTTAAAAGCAATTAGTGTGGCCTTAACGTGAATTCTAGATTTCTGGAACACACATCCTTTAACCTTGCGAAATACGACCAGTTAAATTTAACTGTTATGTTAAAGGCCTTTAAAATTGCTTAATCAAACGAAAGATATTATAGATCAAAATAAGATTATAAATCATACAGTATTTATATACGTTTGCGATTTTATGAGGCCATGATATAAAAACGGTCATGATGTGAAAATTTGTATATGTATAGTTTTGTAACATAATTCTTGCGTTTGGCTTAAACCAAATTAATATTGCAATTGAACTTTATCATTGCGTAAAACCGCTGTAATTATGTAATGGTACTCACTAGATGTTTCGTAGTACGAAATAGATTGATTACAATAGACGGTACATGGCGTAAACCTTTTAAAGTAAAAAATAAACCAAAAAATTCAATTTTAAAATCTAAAGGAAAATTGATTTAACAGTGTGAGGGGAGCAACTATGGATATCCAGACCTAGCTCGTTTATTTATTTATTTACACTTCGTTGCATTACAATATAACAATTTAACATAATTAAATGTAAAGGAGGGCGCCCTCTTTTACATTTAATTATGTCGCTTTCGAGCGATCTCTTCCAGGCAACCTAAGCTAAGGTAAATTATATAAGGTAGGCAAGAAGTGCAAAAATACATATTACATATACATAGCTGTTAATAAGAAAAAAAAACTAATTAATACATTTTATCTCAATTCTTAATCTGGATCGGTGTGTTTTGGCCAAAACGCCATGACAAAATCGGCACGAATATAAGTTTAACGAACCATGTTCTCCAGTTTAGTTCCAAATACGCTCACGGAGCGCTGCTCAAAATTTCTAGACAAAAATCTATTATTACTATTCTATTTTGTAAACTATTCGTAATTACGTATTGTTCGTGCTAAGGGTACTGAACTAGATACAATTTGTAGCTGTATTGCCAAATTAAGAATCTTCCCAATTGCCAACATTGCTGGTGTTTTCAGGAAAAAATGAAGGATTTTTCTTGTGTCCAGTAAATGCACTGCCAATTTTTGTTTTAAGCTTCTCGTAGCAATAAGGCATACAAGGTTTTAGTATTTTCATGTTCACTGTATTATATAGCTTCATTAAGCATAATTAAATAATCAAATGAAAAACGGTAGAAAAATCTCCAGCCGTATTGTGTTGTAAAAAAATATGGTATAATTTTTAAACTGTATTAATTTCTTTAAAAAATATGAACAGTGTCAACCAGCAGCGTACGACCCTCAACCCTAAGGTTCTTTGTTTGACTTCGCGTAGCCATTGACTTTTATGTCAATAGCCGCACTACAAAAATACATGCTACAAAGCGTAATCTTCTTTGTACCATGTATCTTTATACATCGCCTTATTATAAACGAGCGACCCGCTTTCGCACGGGCAACCGTGACCCGGCAACCTTGAAAAATAATATACCTTCCCTTCTCGTGAATCATTCTAGATATTCGTGAAAACTGCAATAAATTCCTTAACTTTTTGAATTCGCGACAGAGTACTTGTTTTTATATAATGTAATAGTTAGACATGCTGTCGCTCAGTTTTTGTAGGCATTATGAAGCTCTACAACTTTTTTCCAGAACTTAATCATATATCTCTTATGGTTAAGGCAGCGTTCGTAAGAAATGTTTTCTTTGGACCGTTTTTTCTGACTAAATTCAACCGACTACGACGAAAGGTTTTCAGTTTTCGGGTTATTGATTTTAACTCACAACTAACGTGGCTTATAATAGAATTTACCACTAGGGTAAAATTTATTCAAAATCGGTTCAGCAGACACAAAGACTACCCCCTCACAAACGGTACCTCTTTATAATATTAGTATAGATTTAATGTTACCTATTTTTTACAGGGCAGTCATCATTATAGTTTCGTTATGGATGTTGGCGGCATCTCTTTACGAAGCTCAGCTGGAGCGGCGGTATAGATCTGAACAGAAACATGACCTTGAACTCGCCAACAACAATCATAAGCTACCAGTTGGTATTATCATATATATCATATAGAATATAATAATATTAGTTTTTTTAAGTTATGGTGGTACAAACTAAATTTCGCACACCATTACGTGTGCTGTCGGTAGAATTTTAAATAGAAGTTATACATATCATTTTAGTCAATTCTCTCAAAATTTTTATCACGTTACTAAAATACATTGATTAATTTCAAATTAATATTAATTATAATGTTTATATATCATATAAGTCATCTAAATATATCTATTAAAAACTATAATTTCAAATCGATTCGAGAGATAATAAATATACTAGAACATACATTCGAAGATCTGGAAGGTCATGCATTTGGTAGGTTATGTTTTGTCTACCCGTATATCTCAATATGTAAGCTAACTAAGTTATTGATTTGCTAATGGGCTGAGTGCCACAAACTGTCGTACTGACAGTGTCAGCCATTTCCATCTCCAAGAATTATTATTAAAGTCTGTCCGCTATTGTCTTATAGAACAAATGCTTCTGTTTTATTGATATTGGATGTCCTTTATTTATTGTCAAGGCACTACACGAAACAGCTATCTTTAAGGAGCCAATAACTAAACATAAATGTTTCAAATTTCTACGTGCCCTGATACATCCCTGCGCATTTGCTAAACGGAATTCTCCAATTGTTTATTAAATATAAGCGTTTTGCAAGTGCTTTTGTCCTAACAATAACGCAATACTTATTGAAATCAAAAATATTTCTTGTTAACTAAGTGTCATATTCAGAAAAGTAATGTTAATCCTAATTGGCCAAGGTTGGCACAATGTTTTTAAATAGTACCTTTATGTTAAATAATAAACTTCATGTACCTTCATGTTAGTGATAAAATAATTTTTAAATATCACCTTTGACTGTTATATGTTCCGATAAAAAAAAGTTATTTAACATACGTTTTATGTAGTTCTTTACAAATAAGTAAGAGCTGTGTTGGCCTAGTGGCTTCAGCGTACGACTCTCATCCCTGAGGTCGTAGGTTCGATCCCCAGCTGTGCACCAATGGACTTTCTTTCTATGTGCGCATTTAACATTCGCTACAACGGTGAAAGAAAACATCGTGAGGAAACCGACGTGTCTTAGACCCAAAAAGTCGACAATGTGTGTCAGGCACAGGAGGCTGATCACCTACTTGCCTATTAGATTTAAAAATGATCATGGAACAGATTCAGAAATCTGAGGCCCAGACCTAAAGAGGTTGTAGCGCCACTGATTTTATTTGCAAATAAACAAGTTTTTACTGTTTCAACGAACATTTTTCAAGTCCCAAAATTTAAATCTAACATGTAATTCTTTGATATTATTCATGAACTAAAAGGTCGGGCAGAGCTTTGAGTGTATTCATAAAGTCCGGTAATGACGTGGGACTTATTAATTAGGATAATTCTCGTGAAAGGTGCGGATTTCGAAGCCCTTTAACGTATTTAACAATTTATTTCGTAATACATATGCTTTCTTCGTTACCTTCTGTTGACATTACCGATAAAAGGACGCTTGGTATTCAGTTCAAAATGGGGTTTGTTTTATGTAATATTTCTGCTTCTTTAGTGTACATAACATCCATTGTTCACTGGCATTTAAATTCTACTTTGCACTATACATATAGTAAAAGAGAAAACCATCCTTCATTAAAACACTTACTATTCTTGACTCTTTTCATAACAGCGTAAACACAATTTCCTAGTAAGAAATGAATGAGGTTACTAATTATTTTTTATGAGGAGGTTTCGGAGTTTTGAATCCTCTTCCACAGTCCTGTAGTATGAGCCCTGAAACGCTATTCCAATAACTTCGAAAATAGCCCTTATTGCTAACAAAATAAACTCGAAAACGTAATACTACGTATTTACTAGACGAACGTTTGCGAGTTTCATTGCTGTGCATTATAGAAATCGATGCCTCTTATGTTTCTAATTACTGTTTCTTTTCGCAGCCTAATTCTCCTAGCTGCAATGACAGTATTGGAGAAGAAATTAAAGACAAGGACCTTCGACGAGAAAGATGTGGTAAGATTTTATGACTATACATTGTGAGTTATCAGAAATATATTCACACTTTTTTGTTACAAGTTTAACCATTCGGAAATAGATACCCACAAATCGAAATATTATTCGTTTTTTTACTTGTTTATACTTTTTATTTGTTGATCGAACGCACTAATGTCAGTACCTACTGGTTTGAATTGTGAATTGTGTGTGGTAAATCCTATCAAGAAAGGCTAAAGGCGCGTCATGCTACGACCGAATAAACGTGGAATCTCGCGAAGCAGTTAGTACATTTTATATGCCAGTAACAAGGTATGATTTAACAAATTTTAATTATTATATAGCTTTTTTTGCAAATTATGACTGATATAGTCCTACTAGTGTCTATCGGCCGTCCGTTAGTGGCACCGCGAGGAATATATATTTCTTAGACGACAAACTTTTTGTAACGAACAGTTGATATATTATTTAGAAGATTGCGTGGGCGTAGACATGCCGCCGTATCTAAAAAAGGTTTCCTTTAATTCACAACGAAAGTCTTTTTATCAAAGCTAAATCAACGATTACATTGTTCAAGAAGGAAACTAGAAACATCTCAACATCACAAAAAAACTCTTAATATTTAGGTAGAAAATTATTGCTGTGATTTAATGTGCAGTGGAAATCTAACTATCTACTAATCCTATTGATTCAGGCTTGTCGATATTAATAACGATTCTAAAGTTAGTAATATTAAACTATTGTTTGGTTGCGATACATAAGCTCTATATATGTTTATTAGGTGTGTGGTCGGAAATTCTGCTGTCGTTCTCCATACTATCAAACGGGAGAGCTATTCTTAGCACCCGGCGCCCCAACGACGGGGCTCTAACCTGCCTACATGGAATGAGGTAATTATTATACAGGAAAAAAATTGGGTCACCGAGGGACGGGAATATCTAAGAATTTGGCGAAAGAAAAAATTTATTTCAAGATTTTGACTTTTCATAAATTTGTTTGTTAATTTTTTTATGTTTTTTAACTTCCTGTAGTTCTTCTCGTATTTTTTATGTTCTTTATTTTCTTCATTAAGTTTATGTTTTACTATTTTATTGATCATCAGTACATACTTGATCAGCCTTTGTGTCCGTGTCGTACTCTAGATCTGTAAACAAAGATTCATAAATTAAATTACCTTATTTATATTATCTATGGGATATTGCACTTAGCTACAAAACGACAGATTTAAAGAAACGAACCTTTGCAATTAAAAGGTTATTGAACCTATGAACGTATTTAATATTTACTTAATGGCTTGGTAAGATATTGTCTTAGTGAATTAACTCTCAGTAAAGCGGAGCAATATGTCAGTTTCCTTACAATATGTGTGCAGTGTGATAGCACGAGAGGGTACTGTGTGAAATATAGAATGAAACCCCATAACTTGGTCTTCGTAACGTCTCACTAGTGTGTCAGTAGGATAGATTTAGGGGGCGTTGGAGTCAAAATCATAGGGCTAGGTCATCATAGTGATTTTACTCTTAGATTTATATTTACGTATTTGAATAAGAATCGATTTATGGTTTTAGGTAAAGTTAACAACTTGTAATATGACCCTTACCGATATGCTTATAAGATATATAATAACAGATATATAATATTCCTTTATATTTTCAGGTTCTTGTCAGTGCTATGGGTGATAATGGTACATACGTACTTAACAATATTTTACATAGCAGACAATAAACAAATGAGAGTCGTCACAGAGAGGAACTTTTTATACCAATCAGTTGGTAATGCTTCGTACTGTGTTGATACCTTCTTTTTCATTAGGTAAGTCATATCTTAATTTTTTAATACAAATTTTTTGACACATTAGAATTGTGTAAATTATTGAATAAATTATTAAACTTATAGCATGCTTAGCAAAATAATAATTCACTTTAAATAATATTTCGAAATGGTAGTCTCGCCTTAATAAAGCTTAATAAATCATATTTGTAAAAGCTACAGATAGTATATGTACAAGATTACATTATAAAGTAAATTTAGATGAGGTTAAAATTTCATATTGCCCACTTAGGTAGGTAGTGCTACGTAACGACGTCGTTCTAAGAAAGTTGACACAACAAACTACATTTTAAAACTCTACCGCCTAATTGTCTGTGTTAAATTAGTAATACGAAATTATAACGATAGAGTGAACCAAAGCTATAAAAAACGGTTACGCAAATTTACACTACCAAATGTAAATAAATACAATTCTTAGTTCAACGCACGGCATTTCTGATAAATCTCTTCCAGGTCGATTTTGCGATTAAAACGTATTATATTAACGTACTCAGAGTCATCCATTAATGTACATATTAGTAATATGTATATTGTATACTGTATAGTTATGGTTCAATTCGGCTTCGACAAGTAGTGGCCGATGATTCAACGAAAACTCTTTAGTGAATTTTATCTTTACAGCAACGAGTATTTTCGTCTAACACTAATTGAAAGACTCTGAGTACGACTAAATGATAGACTATATTTAAGCATTATCAACGTTATCTATTTTCTTCAATATGTCATTAGGAGCATGGTGTATGTAAAACAGGCAAAACTTAGGGATTCAAAAGAGTATCGGATAGATTATTGCCGTCTTCCCGTTCGCTGTACGTTTATATATTTGTATTTCCTTTTATTTCAGTGGCCTGTTAGTAACCGTACTATTCCTACGCACCGAAGATAAGAAAACGAAACGTAAAACCGAGAAAAGAGATAAAGACGTGAACAAAAATATCAATGGCTACACCAACTCCGCCTTATCAGTATCCATAAGCGAACAATCCTTTTACGAAGATGTCTTGGATAAGCCCAAATCGAGTATAAAGATCTCCCGAATGACACGATCTTTCCTCGTCCTACTTTCATATAGATTGGTGAGACTGACGCCAGCATACGCCTTCGTTATAGGAATTAACGAGCTGGCTTTACGATACACACATAACCATACGGTGTTCGAGCCGGCCATCTTTGATCACATCACATGTGAGAAATATTGGTGGAGGAATGTGCTGTATATCAACAACCTGTTCCCACAGAAGGACATGTGCATGGTGTGGTCTTGGTATATGGCCAACGATACGCAATTTTACGTCGTTGGTATTATATTGCTGTTAATTTCGGTAAAGTAAGTATTAATTTAATAGAAAAACAAAAAGGAAATATAAAATTAATCAGCGTAACAAATCTCATTACGCACGGAGGCGTAAAGCCAGATGAACAGCCGGGGTTCGAGCTTACGACCTCAGGTTTGAGAATCGCATGCTCACAAGGCCAACACTGATCTTATAATCTTAGTAATTTAAAGCCATGTTAAGAGAATTCACTGCTAATTAATAGAGTTACATGTTAGAATTTAAAAAAAAATACTTTATTGGTACAAAAAATTGAGACAGTGTAGTGTTGAGTAGGTCATATTTTCAGTAATAAAGTGTTATAAAACCAAAAAGGCTCTTGAAAAGCGTGAGTGAATCATGAGCTCAAGATGTTTTTGAGCAAAATTAGCCAGGATTACTAAATTTGAAATTACGTGTTCTATCACACTTTGCTACCTCTACAATTTTAGTAATGAGTTTGCTTAGGGATCCTAAAGGTGTTACATAATATATTAGTTTAATATCACTTACATTATAATTAAATGTACCTTATTTGCATTACTGTTTGATTGTAATTGTTTTTATTTTCTTCTAGAGAGCTCGATAACTTTGCCCGTACTTTGTTCCAATATCGATAGCATACCGATCCACATTTTGGTAGGTAATTTCGAAATAGTTCTCTCAATATACGTAGCGCTGATATCGCCTTGGGATCAAAGAAAAAGTTATTTTGTCACAAATTAGTACCAAGTATCTTATATAAAACAGCAGTGTTAGCCTAGTGGCTTTAGCGTGCGATTCTCATCCCTAAGGTCGTAGGTTCGATCTGCAGCTGTGCACCATTGGACTTTGTGTTCGCGCATTGCAAGCAACATTCGCTTGTACGATGAAGGAGACTTCGTAAGGAAATTAACATGTCTTAGACCCAAAAAGTTGAAAGCGTGTTTCAGGTACAGAAGGCTGATCATATACTTGCCTATTAGAAAAAAATCCACTAAACATGAAACCGTAACAGAAAACGGAGCCCCAGACCTAAAACGGTTGTAGCGCCACTATCCTATGCAAATATTTGTTAGTTTCACCATTCGATATCAAACAAAATTAAAATGGTTGTACGTGCTATTCATGTATTCCATATAAGAAAATTTTACGTTCACAATTTTGATACTGACTGTAAAATATCTATGCCTTCTGCCATTAGGAGATAGGGGAGTGTACTAATATCAAAGTAAACATTAGGCCCTCAAGGGAGCCTACCTTCATAAATTTTAATGTATCATTATCACAGATTGTGGAATAGTCATTAAAATATGTTTCATAATTATACGGACGGTGTAATATACGCTTGGGGCATTATATTACCGAATTCAATGCCAGGTTTATAATATTGGACGAATAATAACAAAAATACTTACCAAAGAAACGGTGGTGTACCGTGTACGCACTGCAACATTTCAATCAATGGATATTTTATTATCTTCAATTGCATTATTAAAATTATTACTTCACATTTAATAACTTTAATAATTTTTATTAAAAGTATAAGTCACGTATATCTTAGATCACCTTAATATATATAATGTTTTCGTATAACATTAGTTATTCTGCGTGATCGAATCTAGATTCGAATTTTAGTTTTTATGTCTAGACATGTCGGGCATAATAATGGGTGAAATAAAAACAAACTTTCAAAGCGTGAGATTAAGATGTTATTTTTATTCAACAGGCACTTGAAATTGGCAACAATTTCACTCGTTTTGGTTCTGGCAAGCTCTTGGATAACTACAATATACATATCGGTATGGCACCAGTACAAAGCTCGGATTCAGGAACCCTTCGAAATGTTCGATCCACTTTACGACAAGCCGTGGTCAAGAATTGGACCGTACTTGATCGGTGAGTGCTAAAATGACCTCTTAATAAGAATATACTAAACGTTTTTCCTTAGAAAATTGTTTACGTTGCTTCATCTGTATATGAAAAGGAATATGAATGCAATAAATTCAACACCTTAATGGTTTTTTGGTGTTTTCTGTACTTTTAGTTTATATACATTATATTAAGCAATAATAAATAATACAAAAACATCTTTCTGCGTCTGTTTCGTTAAAATAAATAAATAAAATATGTTTATTATGGAATATAAGATGCAGGTATCACTTATTCCACGTTATTAAATTTGAATAGGTAGGCTACCCTACTCATCGGCAAAGAAGACAGAGGGTGTAGGCCGAGAGAAAAAGCCGGCGTAAAAAACTCTCGGTACTCTTTTAAAATAACAAATCATCAAACAACACTTATTTTAAAACAAATATCGCAAATTAATTAGAAGTAGCCTGTCTAGCACTAGTCCCAGGCCCTTTTATCAACTAGATAATCGTTAACATTATAGTAAGCCTTTTTACACAGCTTTTCTTTAATACATTCCTTAAATTTATTAAAAGGCAGAGATAAAAGAGCCTCTGCGATTTTATTAAAGAAGAGTATCCCTTTGATCCCGTTGGTACTTGAATGCTATATATAAAGGTTTTTAGAGTATACCATTCTGAGTTTAATAGTCTTATGTCGGGAATCGAAACCAAGATCCTGCTATGCCATATCCGGAGTCGATCTTGAATATACATTATACATACAATCTTTAATTTACAAAAAAGGAAAATTTTAATAATTTTAAGCGGCGTAATCCGCTAAGCGTAAAATTATTATAGTCCCGTAGATTACGGATAATATTAAAATTATAATACAGGGTGGCGCAATAGAACGTGAATTTATTAAGTACTAGTGGACCCCACAGACGTTGTCCTGCATGATATTTAAAGCGATTAGGATATTAAGCAAAGTATGAAAGTACCGACTGCAGTGCCATCTGCCGGGCTGATTTGTGAATCTAAACCATTCCCAGATCCCCTTGAACACACACAAAAAATTTCATCAAAATCGGTCCAGTCGTTTGAGAGAAGTTCAGTCACATACACACGCACACAAGAAATATATATATTAAGATAGGCTAAAAAAATAAATACAAAAGGTATATATAGTTGAAATAAAATATAGGATGATTAGGTAATTAAATGTAGATTATTTTTTAAAAATAACATCATCTAAATGACGGCCCTCTCGAAGACGGCACTCCTCTAAACGCGAACGCAGATTTGTTGCTTGCTGCTATTTAAGATACTTCTCAAGAAAATCCCGCAGTGTATGAACATATTTAGATTTTTATTATAAATAATTAGAGGAAAGCGCAAGAAATAGTTGTATTGTTTAATTATTTGCAACAAATGTTTTTCAATTCAACATGATTACTTTTAAAATATTACTTTAAAGCCCAGAAAACATAACGAACAAAGATAAAGCTGAATTTCATACGAAGCAATAAGCTGAGCGCGGACTCATTGCTCGTAAAACAGATTTTATGATATTTTATGCATTTTCTATCGGAGTTAAGCCTATTACGGCACTATAAAAATATAATGAAATTTCTGTACTAAGCGTTAATAAAGTCTACTGGGAGGTAGTCTTATAGCGATTTCAGTATGTTTAGACAGTCACTATTGTTCTATTTGACAAGAGTTTAAAAAAAAATCAGATTATTCACTAGGACTAAAGAACCTACACAAATGGTTATGTTTAATTATGTTATGTGTTGGCTTTACAAATTCAAAATTCATAATTTTAAGGACCCGCCATAACGCTTCTCTTGGCAAGATGGCGACACATCAACCCCTATGACATACCATGAAGCAAACACGTACGACGTAGTTTTAAAAAAATCTGTGAATGTTTTGTGTCACATGACTGACGTGTAAAAAATCAATACTTTTAAATATCGAATTATTTTTTACAAGTTATTTTACTTTATATTGCTGTCCTCGAACCTCGAATACTCTGATGAAATCTACTAGTTCATTAGATATCTCTCCATATCCATGTTTCTTACATTTTTCTCATCTATAATTTAATAATACTGTACAAAAATCAAACATTTACTATTAAATTATAAAAGCTAAAACTACAATGTAAAATAAATAATAATAAAGGCTTTCAAACTTCTCTGGCACTAGGTATTCTAGTGGAATTTTCTCGCTGAATTGCGATGTAAATACGTTGTATTAATAAATCAATATAATATTCTAGGTATGATGGTGGGCTGGTATTTACACAGAACAAAGTGTCAAGTGAAAATACCTTACTGGTTGGTGGCTATTGGATGGCCTGCTTCTATCGCAATCATTGGAAGCCTCATTTTCGGCATGGTGGACGGATATTTTGAAGTTTGGCCTACAGCATTCTATATTAGCATTGGACATACGGGTAACCTATTTTTATACAATAAACTTAATTATTTCTTAATTAAAAAAAAATAAATAGCTGTAAATTTTTTTTAAAAGCCTTGATATATAGCCTAGATACGGTGCAACAGAAGATTTGTTGTCCATAGCCATTTAAGGTAGACTTTAAATTAAATTATTTAACACACGTTTAATTTAAATATCCTTACACATATTCACACATCCACACCAGTCATGCTTTAGTTCTATTTTATTTGCTATTTGCTACATGTATATTTTTTATCACAGATAAAATAGAAAAATGCCTTTAGAAATAAATTAAACACCTACGCTGACATATACCTATATTAATAATTGTTATTAATAATCAGTAACTATAACACAGTTGTAAATTTGTTATCCATACCCATTTGAGGTAGACTTTACATAAAATTCACGTTTAATTCACACACCCACACATATTCACATTGTTTATTACTTAAGTTCAGTCTTATATAGAATTTGAATATTTTGTATCTGTGTAGTCTTACTATAGGCACCTGCCTCTCACAAAAGTCAATACCTGCAGCATGTAAACCTGTAAAATGCAATATTGTGAAGAGGCAAATATTTACTTTATTATAATTGTTGCTAAGACTAAGGTTTTAAAGCGCTGCGTGAATGTCAATAAAATGAATGTGTTCACGTTTCAGCGCTTTTTGTGTTGAAATAATATTTCGATTTTAACATAACATTCTGTCGTTTGTGTGTGTTACATATCTGTTATCATTTTAACTACTTCAATATTCTTACTTAACTAATTACATTTTAAAGCTGTTCTTATGTAATATTTTTCGAAATTGTTTAGTTTTTACATAGCATGAGGCACTTTGAGGTTTGAAAGAGTTCCATTAGGCGAACGCGCCAGCATACAATCCCATATTAATTTTCAATTACGAATAAAATTATGTTACTGTAAATCAATTAAGGCATTTAAAAATAATAGTAAACACAAATCTTTTATAGGATGGGGAGTGGCACTCGCCTGGGTGGCCATAGCTTGTTGCTGTGGATATGGTGGTCTCGCGAACTCTCTGCTGTCCTACAACGGATGGTTACCATTAAGCCGACTCACGTACTGCGCGTATCTGGTACATCCAACCATCATGATGTACACCTCTTTCTTGCTCGATGGACCTCTTCATCTACAGAATTCTATAGTGGTAAGTTTTAACACCTTTGGCGCACATATGTCGTATTGGATCTATTTCCAGCAATACAATATTATGATTAATTAATATTACAACAATATGGAACTTTATACCGCAAAAGTCACATATGCCTAAGTGGTTGCACGGCAAAATGTTTCCTATTTCCCTTAAATAAAATATGTACTTCAATGTTGAGTTTTAGAATCACGCGATTTCAACAGCAGCGCTACGCTTATTTAGAGAACTACATCAGTATTGCTTACAAAAATGTCGGGATCAGTATCGCTATCAATTTACAGATTACCGGGGCTGGTGTGCCTTGGTTTATAAAAAAAATAATCTAGATCTTATAAGCCAGACCATTAATAAATTTCGAGCTAGATAGCATTGCTATTACCTAGGATTAAGGCTGGCCGACGCTTTAATAATACTGTTAGTACGCCTGCATTATTGGCTCAAATAGTTAATGTTTTGTCATGTTTACTTAAGAATGTATACAATAGTTATTATTACTAGCAAGCTATCGTTGTTTTAATCATGTTTAATAACTAACTAAAGCTTTCAAAGCCAGAAAGCGGATCCGTAGTAAATTTACATTTCATAGTTTCCGTAATAATGATATAATAGGGACGCAAAGGTACAATAATTGAATATTCTATTCTCTTAACATCAATAGCACTTTCAGGGCTTTGTAATATAACCCCTGACTTCAAAGAGGCCCAGGATCTTGGCGTTTCCCACGAAACAAACAAAAGGCAACCTCTGGGTGTATCCTCATACCCTGTTTAAATAATATAAATGTTATTGTCAATCTTAAGACCAAATAATTCAAACGCAAAAATCTGATTTTGCCTCATTTAATAAAATTGTTTAATCTTTAAAAAAAATTAGAAAGAGAATTGTTTTCATTTTCCTTGTTGCAGGAAAAACTAAACTAAATGAACGAAAACGAAAATGTAAACTATATGAATGTACTTTGATAAATTCTATAATAAAATATATAACTATGTAAAATATGTAACACCGCTATCTATATACATAAATAAGTTCAATATTAAAATTCATTTTATATGATAAAAATCGTCATTTTTTAAAAATTGAGATCTAATTTCCATTTTTCGCAATACAAAAGCAATACGAAACTCATAAAATTATTTACGATTTAATGCAAAAAGTGTGAATAATAACTCAAAGCACTAAAATACTTGAATTGAAGTGCTCACGAGTGGCATAAATAATCCAACGTTGGCCTAAGAAAATGTTATCTTAAAGTCACATTAATGTAGAACACCCGAGTGTTAAGCTCAGAAATTCCTATCTCACACAAACCTATTTTCACACTCCACGAAGTTATCTTATTGCCATTATAAGCGTACGTTTCTGATCGCGTCGTCTAGAATTTATACGTGTTTAGTGAAAAAAATTGGAAAAAAATTGAACGACAATCACAATTCTGTGCCCGATATTAATTAATCCAACTTTTACATCTAACTCTTTCTACCAGAAACAATTGATTGTTTTATCTATGTATGTTTTGTTTTTTTATTTGTACGCCCTATACTCCACTATGAAATAAAGAATAGTATATAATTATTTTTAAATAAAACCTTAAGTAGATCCTTGCTAACCAAAGATTGTTGATTCAGCGTTCACATTCGTTATTTAGAGGTTTTATTAAACAAATGATAGTACTGAGATATAACTATCTCACATAGGCCTGCTTCGCATTGAGACTATACCAATGATTATAAAAATCCATTACATAGACGCCAGCGCAATGCATACAATGTATTGATTTTAATATGTATGACATCATATTATAAGATTTGATATGGTTTTCTTTTATTTAAGAAACCAAATAAATTACTATCCTATGAAGTATAGTATAGCAATTGTTTCATTATTACTTTGAATTCTCGTACATAGTATTGGTGTCTATAACTTTGTGTTAAGAAGTATTTTACAGTGCACAAAAATAATGTTTCTTATATCAGTAGTCATGGTTGACGTCCGTGGTAACCTTCACGAAAATAACTTTTTATTTTCCTGCACTATTGCGAAGCTCTTTGTTGAAAATATAATTAGAGCACTTACAGCCATACTCGATGTCTCTATTCAGTATTATTCTACTATTCAGTACAAATCAAACTATGTGATAATTTAATACTTCTTAATTTATAAGCGTAGAACCGTAAAACCTTTTTTAAGTTCCGGTTAAAATCTGAGGTGAATTTATTTCAATGCGTGAAGTATCGCTTGTCCGATATTATCTTATTTATTGAAATGTAAGAAGTCGAGGCTAATACTGTGATAGTAATTTCCAAGTCCAAGTAGCATAATAAGGCAAGGGCGCGGCTGTATTAACTAACACAATTAGAAACAATATCAAGGAACCGAGAGCAGGCGAAAAAGAAATTTAACGGTCTCAAGAGCAATTTAAAACTTGAAAAATTACAATTAAGCTCGTTTCTCAGTTTCTCCCGAAGTTTTACGGAAGCCGTGGCCGTCAAGAATTGTTCGTAAACAGACATAAATTAATTGCTAATCTGGATTACACAAAAATATTTTCTCGGATAAAGCGGTTCTAAAGAGGCGCTTCCTATTTAATTTTAAACACAAATGAAACTACGAAAGATTCATGTTAGCCTTGTACTAGGTCTCTATAGACTTTTTTCGTAAAGATCTTAAGATTATATTATATATATATATATATGTATTTTAAAAGTATATTTACGTGTATTTACGTCTACTGTATATATATTTATGTACGTATCTGGTACATTACGAGCACTTCTTTTCTTAAACCGTTTCTTGATTTCTAAAACCGCCTGTTTTAAAATTATTACAAAGGCCGACAACGCACACGCACCCGAGTGTCGACTATTAGAAAAAGTCAGAGTGATAAGTAAGAAGTCCCTTTATAAATACATCTCTCAAATATACAATTTATATACGGAATATGTAAATACTAAACGTTTGCATATAACTGAAATATACATCAGATTAATTTCCGGAAAGCAATTCTGAATAAATGTCGCTTGAAATCAAATTCGATTCGTTATCAAATAATTTCAGCTTCGGAACAGAGAATTGAAAATTGAGATTATGTTGATGCGAACCAATTCTATCTGCCGCTGCTGCTGAGTGCCGCCACCTGCGATACACATTCGAGTGAATATTGCCGTAAAATCTATCTAATCAATACTAAATTCAATTTTTCGTACTTTCCGTAGCTTGTACCATGGCTTGACAAAGTGTTAAACGCTTACAAAACCCTGCTGTATATATTTATATATTTTTACCCGTTACGCGCAAACTTAACATACATATAATATTTGACAGACTTATTTTCCTTTTATTATTTCAACAATTACGTTTATTTAGCGGTATGTGTATTCTCTGTATCTAAAAATCAGGTTAACCGGATCACGCATTTGCCACAAAAGTACTTAAATTACATATTTAAATGTACAGTTGTTAAATACTTGCCACAAAATAAATGCCTTGGCACCGCAATTGTGTTTAAAAATTTCCCACTTAAATGTATACTTCAATTGTTTTTTAGTTGGATGTTGGCAGGATACACAGAGTAACATAAATCTTTATCTTGTTACAGATAACACTATACGCCGGGTATGCAGTTCTGGCGTTTTTAGCCTCGTTCGCCATTTCCCTCGCCTTCGAAGCACCGGCTGTGAGGCTTTTAAAGATCGCTAGCGGGGGAGATAAGAGTAAAAAAGCTCGCTGATTACACGAATTGTGTTGAAATGAGCTGTTAATACCACAAATTTTGTACATATTTATAAACAAAATGTGGATATAATAAAACTCAGTGCCTGTATTTTATTTGTTAAGTTACAAACTATGAAAATATTCTACACAAATTAAAAGTTTATTTATCTATGATTAGAAAAAAAACTATTCATGTTATGTACAGACTATATTAATATTTTCGAGTTTCGAAATTCAAAAATTAGAATACATATAACACCTTAAAAGAGTTGTGATGCGAATTCACCATATCAATTTCGGCTTTGTAAAGCTATCTGATTTTGAAATGATAAATAATCTATACCAACCCATTGTGCAAGATTATTGGGTGGAATAATTTATGGTCGTTATCAAACGGTCTCTTGAATTTTAATCACATCTAAAACAAGAGTTACTTATAGTATAGACTATCGTCTGTGAAATAAACACAGTTTAAAGAGAATATAGAAATTATTTAAATAAAAATATACCTTCTTCATATCAAAGTATATCAAAGCAACTTAAAAGTTATACAAAATGTTTTGTGTCATATACCCAAAGGCTCAGTCGAACGCTATGTGCCAACATAACATAAAAAAATCGTTTATTTATAAAAGTTACCACTGGTTACCATTATTTTTAGCATTAGGTATTTATGTAGTTACCAAGTGAAGTTGAATTGTAGTTGGAACCCTGTCCCAATAATAGAAATACACGTACCTATAGACTCTACTCTTGACAGTTTCCTGACTACCGGTGATAAGGTTCCAGCTGACATATCAAATAGTCTACATAATACAAGCATTGTTAACGTGAACTTCAATTGAATATAGAGATTCTGTATGAATTGCAGTTTCTAGATAAGATTTATTCCAAAGGTGAGAGATTGTAATATATATTGTTATATATGGAAATTTGTAAAAACGTATTTAGAATGTAAAATATTTAGTTAAGTAAAACCACAATTTTGTACCTTTTAAATGTAAATATATAACTTAATTCTAGTCGTTAATTATTTGGGCTGTTCTTTTCCTTTCCTTTTTAGCAAATTAATCTTATTTAAGTTTCAAATAACGTATTTTTCCTTTTATCTTACAGTTAGCTCTTTACAACTTTCTATTTGAAATTACGAAAAAAACATTACTGTTTCCTACTAAAAATAAATTTATTGTTTCTTTCGTAATATTACATAAACTTATGTAGTACGACTTTATGAAAAACACATACATTAAACAAACCTTTTAAAGTATTGAAACCTTTTAATAAGTTCTTTTAATTGAAGTATAAAAAAATAGTAGCTTGAAACACGAATCAGTGAATGCGTCGGAGATAGTTTCTAAAAGGAGATAACTAGATCATAAATTAAACTAACTCCTAATCAGACGACGGGCTCTGCTGATAACAAGCTTGCCCGGCAAATTCCGAAAATCACTTCTATTTGCCCATTACACGGGATCCCTTATTTTGATACAAAAGGAATCCCTATCTCACACCCTTTCTCGTTTTCCTCTACCCGTTTTATTGCGAGTCTTAAATTTAACCCAAAGAATCTCCGCGGTAGTAATGCTATTTTACAACTCGCATATCTACTTTATTTTCATTACGGTTCAAAATAATTGTCTTTGGTCTAAGTAAGTACTACACATGTATAATATTTGACGGATCAACGCGAACTTATTACGTTATAACTCTACGTTTTCCCTCGCTTATCACATTACTGTAAAAACTAGAATGTAAATAATGGAACTAATTCGCGTACATGTCAGAAGTTTAAGTTAGGTTAGGTTTTATTAGTTAGTTAGTCGAGGACCTTATATTATATTAGGCAACTGTGATTCATGACTAACAATTTAAATAAACTGCCCTATTTGTAATCCCGTGTTAAAAACTACTAAGGCGCCTCAACTCTTGGTTCTTAGCCTCAATTCTGTATCTATTGCTTTATCATTTTTGTTTATATGCAAGTAGTCGATCAGTTTTCTATCTCTGATGCCGCATCGCCGTATGATCCAGTATTAATTGCGCACTTTTTATATATAGAAAACCCCACTTGTGAACAAGATAGATGGGAACGCACAATCCGAGAGACGTGAGTCACGAGTCGACTTGAGCAACCTCAACAGCATTTATCTATTTTCAGGTATTAATATTATAGGGCGTGTTTACGGGTAAGGGATGTGCTGAGGGTGCGGAGCGACGATGCGTTCTATCGGGCTCCCTCCATGTTCTGGGGAATTAATTATATAGATACGAGCCAGCCTCAATTGCAATGTTCGTCCATAATTACGCTAACAAGTTTACGATGTGCACGTATTTAACTTAACTAAACAAATAATACCTCAGTATATAAAATAAAATAAATAACAATCTTAGTGGAAAAAAATTGGGTGAATTCCACCGCGTAAAAAAGTTGACACGGCGTGATACGCAGACGTTCCTTGTAGATATATAATGTAGTGGTCTTAACACAAGGGCGAGTAATTATTATAAAAATACATTTAGGTTAGCCTAAACGTGAAATTCATGTCGACTGTGTACTACATGTTTTCATTTTCAGTGATCGTAATTAAGTAAGAAGTTTTAATGTTTATGGTATTTATTATAAGTAATAGTCTATTTATTCTAAAGTTAGACATATAATCAACAAAATTAGTATACCACAATAGGAAATCTTCATCTTTTTCATCGTCTAATACCCTATTACCCAATGCATCAATGTAGCTCATTTTAAGGTGTACAAAATTGTTCTTACTAGGCCTCAAAAACAGGCATTTTTAAATAAGCTACCTGTTATTGAAAAAGGCCTTTTTTATTTTAGTTCTACTGTGCACAAGGGGATAGTTCAGTTAGCTAATTCCGATCGCTAGATTACAAAAAGTGGAACTCTGAAATTTTAATTGTATTATCTGGAAATTCTCCCCATCGAGGCGCTCACTGAATTTTCACGCAATCCATTATACTCCGCCTCTAGAAATATTTATGTTCGAAATAATATTATCTTACATCAGATACCTACAGTTAAAGGCAACACTGAAGAAATAATGATTCAAAGAGTATGAATCAATTGCTTTACGGGCTAGTAGGCGATCAGCTGTGATCCCGTTGTTTCGCTAAAAATCGATCCCAGGCACTCCGGACTATTACACCAACCAAGCCGCAGAGACGGTTATTAATGCATGAATAGCTAACTGGTATTCAGGAGCGAAAGTGGACCTACCTAGTTAAATATAATATCAGTAAATTAGTATAATGCATGGAAACTGGGACTCGAGCCTCGGCCTCGATAGTATGGGCAAAGTTTCGTCTGATTGAATTTGAAAATATAGGTCAAAGTTTGTAATTCACAAATTGCAACGGCATGTTCGAAGTTCAGTACAATGGATTCCTAATGGATTATAATATATTCTTATAGAACATAATTATTGACGGCTTGCAAATTACGTTCTATCTTACAAAGACACTTTAATGACCCCTTTAGGGGCGGAAAATCTAGTTTCTAATACATTTAAATATTAAATTGTAATATCCATAGGGCCTATGCATTATGAGCACACCCCACATACCTACACTTTCCTACTTCACGTATATAATATTTTATATTGATTTCTTTCCTTTCGTAAATGTTTAAACGTTTTTTGGATATATTATGTATTCCACCTTTGCCTATATGTTTAGTATAATTGTTTTTTGTTTATGTTATCTGTATTACGAAATAAATAAACAAATGGCTTCAGTTACCAAAATTCTCATTGGAATAACATTGATAAATAAGAATAAACCTATATATAGGAAGATTAAAACTGGCCGATATCTGTCGGCTTTTGACACCAATATTAGTTAGCATGGTTGCGTCCTCGCTCGCCGAAAACAATAGCATTTTTTCCCACAAAACGTCGATGACACACTTTTAAAGACTGCAAAGCTTTTTGATTTTAGTGTGGTCAGAACCTTTATCGAAACACGTCGAATTGTGACATAAAATAATAATAAAACCGTAATGAAGAGAGTAAAATTGAATGCTCTCCAATCTATTGTTTTCTTCCGTTGCAAAAACAATATGGCGAAATATCACTCGGTCCGCACTCCGCCTCATGAACCGTGAAATAAGATTTATTGTCTTCAAAATGTTCTTATTTTGCGTGATCTGAATTTATATACTTTTAATGTTAAAATGTCAACGATTGTTTGTACTATATACTTTTAAATTGTAAGTAGTTTATTTCGCAAAACTGGCAAAAGTATTTAAATAACTTTTTATGTAATATCAAAGTAGTGACCAGTTTAGTTAAAACTCTAGGATACAATTAAAACATTCTTTCACTATTAGAATTATATATCACGCCTAAGTAACATAGGCTACATTTATTTACAAAATATTTAAAAAAATATATTTCAAGCCGGGATTAATAGACATACATAGAGAACGATATAACATTGCAACTCACAACAAAAGCTTTGCACTATACTAAACTAAACAAATCGCTGTCGGAATGAAAATATTTAAAATATTCACGCTACAAGGTATTTTTGTTCGAAATTAGAATAACAGTGAATATTTCAGAACGTTTGTTATTCCAACGAATGAGAAACAATAACCACTCCAATAATGCTTGTATGCTAGCAATTAACACTCCTGCAGTAAGTAAGCACGTTTTAACTCAGCTTTCCGTCCCAATATAGTACATATAATTATCTTCTAAAGTTCCCTGACTTGACACTTAGGAACTTTACGCTTGTAGCGTCACTTTGACATATGCTTGTACTCTCACCAACTAAAACAGTTGGAAACAAATCTGCCCTTAGAGACATCGTTTTATCATTGAAGTTGTGAAGTCGTGATAGTTCAAAGTATGTGTACCCCACACGTACTTGTACGTTTGGTTCACAAATTTCTTTATGAGGGAATAGATAGAAAAGATTCAAAACTATTCAGGAACGATTACCAGGCTTTTTATTCCAATTCTATTATTTCCAGCGAATGTCAATTTTCGTACTGCA